CATAATCTAAGCTCGAGGAGTAAATTACATTTTTTTACGTAACATTTATCGTGAGACACGTTTAGACTGAATTTTATTATATCCTGAAAATTCTATCGAACAGCTACTCGTTTAACAAGCCTACAATTTAAATATAATTAGACAAATGGAATAAATATTGGAATATAATGCGATGCAATAAGGAAATAAAATTCATATTCTATTCGAGAGATTCACGATAGTTGGTCACGGCTTCTTCCACATCCGAGTCCATGAATCCAAAAACAAAAGGCTGATTAATTCTGTGGACTGGAGGCCGTGGTAGAATGAGGAATCGGGGATGATATTTACCGAAGTATCTTGGTGCAGGTCATCAGGCTGTAGAAATGAATCATTATTATAAGTTTGGGAAAATTACCTTTGTTTTCATTATTTTAATGTGAAATAGGGCAAATTTAGGGAGTGAAATGCTGTAAGGCAAGAGTACACGGCGAATTTTGAGGAGGTAGAACCCTGGATTCTTTCATTTCCCACCTATTATATGGTGAAAAAAGGGTTTTCAGCCGTGCTACTATTGCTATCAAAACAACGAAATCGCCTTTCCATCTGTAAACGGGGTAATTTTAGATATAATAAAAAAACTCGCTGAAGGACACCAAGCATCTCATTACCTGTAATATATTCGTTTCTAATTTTACATTATTTTGTAGTGCAGAGGGGCGATGAGGTTGTGTAAGCTACTGTAGGGGGGCGATGGTCAAAAAAGTTTGGGAACCACTGACCTACACTATCTAGTGGTAGTTAACTATTTTTTTGGACTTTCCACGGTGAGCGCTAGCGTTGTTACAGCGCTTTTCCGTTCTCAGAAGTACGGGTTGGAGTTTTCATATATATTTTGATGAAATAGAAGGGGGTTTGACAAATTTATCTGGTGAATAAGGTAGATAATAACTAAATGATTGTTGATTTGGGCTGATTACCACACTGAATAGTACTGGTACCCATACGTTCCACTGCATAGTGGCCATGCAGCCCCTCGGATTTGAAGGATTTTCATGGCACCTATACGACAGGAACTAGCCTACTGTATTTTTCATGATTCATACTGTACCTGGCGATAGTCTAATCTAATTCGCATACCGTAATATATACTAGACAAAATATCTAAAAATGTGATATTCCTAACCTGTACGAAATCTAATATGAAGTCATTTATCTGTGAGGTTTTTAATGATTTATGACAATATTATAATCATATTTTAATAGCAAAATAACGATATTGTGTAACATATTCTTCTCAAATTTGGTAACCTTGGAGAGAAGATGAATTAAAAACTTCTATGAACCAATATAGCATAGTCTAGGTATACTATGTTAAATAAATCTATGGAGTTATTATTTTGAAATCTTGTGTTGTTAAGTTGTTCATTACGTGAACACTTTTGTTATTGCACCAAGTCATCTGTCAAGTGATTGATTGGCATGGCAGTTGAGTCTATTGCCGGTATACATTAACTATAGTCAAGGACTTCCAGCCTTTTCAACTCGCAAAAATTATATTATAGTCCGTTGTTACAAACAACTTTTTTTATGATTTAATTATTTTAACATTATCTTATTATCTCATCTGCCTCTACATCAAAGACTCGTTTGAATCTATTAAAAGTTATTCATAATAGGGATGTTAAGACTATTTGAAATACCCGCTTACAAAAATTTTTATGGAAATTGAATAATCCAGTTAAAAATTGTGTATAAGAGTTCATCTGGCAGTTCGTCAAAATAATATTTAGTAACTTTCAATAAAAACTGAAAATTTATATGCAGATACATATATACTGTTTAGACACTGTAAATCTAATTTCATATTTAAATATACATGGTCCAAATGCGCCTGAAATTTAAGTAATTAATATTTATTTTGATAATGATGATTTCAATCACATCACATTCTTCCAGTGTATACTAAAATCAGTCGTTTTGTACTTTATCTATTGGTTTCACGTTTTTTCGCAAGTCCTGTCGTCAGAATATCGAATCTGCAACATGCGAACTTCTGCCATATTACTGTGTTATTGGATTATTGAAAACATATCGAAGGTCAAAGCGAACACTGCCGCATTTAGACGTATCTGCATAGTTGATGGTGAGTATCCATGTTTGTAAATCCCCTGGATAACCTGGATTAGAAAATCAAATTATAAATACCGCTACTTATGCTCGATTGTTTAGTTTGCAAACTGTACCAGAATTTGGACATGTTTTACTCAAATTGTTTATTTTCATTTCATGAATGTATTTTTTTTATTCCGCAGCTTTAAATGTCTATACCACTGATAATTACTTTCAAAACAAAATTAATAATTGTTTTCAAATAGATATCAGTTGTTGGGATGGTGCATGGGTAAAGTCATGGACGAATGTTTGATACCACACATTGCCTGCCATTACATGAATAATAACCCATTATTTTACTTTATTATCAAATTTGAAGTGTTTAAATATTCAAAAAGCCACCTGCATGCAATTCATGGTTAATGTATTCATTATCACTTCGATCTTAAGAATTACATGGAATTCATTATATTTTCAAAACAGTTGAGAACACAACTCCAAGAAAAGCACAATGTAAGACAATTTGCAATACTTGTATTCCATATAAACCACATGTTTCTGTGTCAGCAACTCAGCATTGATTTTATTTTACTAAAAAATGAAGGCAGCGAATATATGAGTGTTATAATCAGTGAATTGCTGGCAGATGATAGAACAGCACAAATAAAAAAAGGCACAAGAATATACTATATAGCATAGTTTTATGATATAATTGAGGATTGTTCAATTAGATATATTGTACAGAAATTGTGCAGTATATTCCAACTTCCAAAGATTTTTTGTCATTACTTTTTATGGGTAAATCTTTTACACATAAATTTAAGGTGCGTTTACACTGGATGCGTTGCGACGTGCGCTCGAAATCGCTCTCCATTGTTTCTAGTGACGCCGTTCACACTGTAAGCGCGGCACCTAACGACGACGCCCCGCGCCGCTGCTGATTCTCTCGGTGAGCGTGTTTCGGCGCGACTGACCTTCGAATTCCACGTGCTTTTTTGCGGCGGTGTCGGCTGCTTCCCGTAGAAAGTGGTTTTACCTTCCGCTAAGGTCTGAAGGTACTGCATTTTATAACTGTAATATCAAATTAGGTACCGTTATCAAGGCCAGAATAAAATTGATTGCAAGTACAGTACTAGTGAAAGATTGAAGTCTTTACTATTTGCTATATGAGTTCTAACAACAATTGTATTTTGAATTCATTACAAACTTTGTTTCGCAGTCATGTCTTTTGAAGAGCTACTTAAATATGAGGTGCAATGTAGACCATGTCTGTATGACATGAGTCGTCATGATTATCGAGATGTAAATATTAAAACAACCAATCGGGAGGAGATTCGAGCGTTGCTCCATGTTACTGGTAAGTTACTTTTATTACGGGATTACTAGATTTATCTTGATGGCAAAATCACGTTGCCTAAAATATTTGAAAGTACAAAAGCTTGTTTTGCTTAACTAACACCACAATCTGACAATGCTCTTCAGGATAGCAGGCAAGAGAGAAATGGAAAGCTTTGTGAAGATTAAAAATAAGAATGAAAGCAGCATGAGATCTGGAGCACCCGGAGGCTTTTCCACGAATAAATGGAGTCTATTCGAACAAATGAGTTTTTTAGATTCCCTCGTGCAGCATCGATAGTAAGTTATTTTGCATAAAGTCGGCACAAGAGTAATTATTAAGCTGTGATATGTTACTATGATGAAAAGTATGTGCCTATTTCAATGATATATCTATCACATGTTTTGAAATGATCTGTTCGGTTTAGTATAAGTTAAATTCTTTATTAGTTTGAAGTTATTTCAGGCCCTATTCTATTTTATAACGTCCTCAAATTTAGATCTCGTCACTTTATCAGCTGTGGTAGAAGGGGAAGAAGTGTCTGGGTCATCTTCTGTCGCACCGACACCAAAAACAGAAAGGAAAAAGTGAACATGCGGATTTTGAAAATTCTTGAGGAGAAGGATGGTAATTTTTTTAACAATTTAAACATCGTTTTATGTTTTTTATACGGTCACACATGTATGGTGTGATCAAAATTAATTTAGTATGTTGTAGAATTAAAGGAGCGTATGCATAGCATGCTCATATAGATAAACACGTAATGGTATGGAATATTGATACTATGTATTTTTATTTTCTTCAATTTATTTATTTTTTCATTTACATTTCAAACATCGTTTTTTTTCATGTTTTATCTACGGTCACACACGATATGGTGTGATCGAAATTAATTTAGTATGCTGTAGAATTGAAGGAGCGTATGCATAGCATGCTCATATAGATAAACACGTAATGGTATGGAATATTGATACTATGTATTTTTATTTTTAGATGACCCAGACAAACTCTTCCTTCTTTCACTTCTACCACAGCTGAAAAGACTGTCTCCTGAGCATGCGTCATTAACAAAGATGAAAATCATACAATTACTCCATGAGGCTGAATTTGAGAAATGATTCAAATTCAACTTCCCACTTGAAAATTAGAAAATAAATTCAAACTTTTATTTATCTTAATTACTGTACATTACTAAATTTATTTGACTCCATACAAACTTGAACAACCTTCTCTAAACAAGAACTCAATTTTCAAAAAAATTTGATGTTTTTCATTGTTAGTTTACCTCAACCATTTTATTATTTATTCAAGCAGTATGCTTTTTCATTCTGGCTATTTCTTATTACACCACTGTGATGTATTTGCATGATTTTCATCTTTCTGCTTCGCTTATTTTCTTTCATTAAGCACAAATTCTTTTTTCAATTAAGTTGAAATGTTCTTTGATGAAAAATTTGAATTATTTTCTAAATTGATTACAACTTAAAATATTTTAGTGTAGCGTGTTAAATCTCTCATTCCATAATATGTTTTTTCCATGGTAACCACTAAACTAGATAAAAGTAACTTTTCATGTCCTTCTGACTCTTTGAAATTGCCAGGGACAAGCTCCATCAACCATGATATAATTTTTAAGGCTGTCACGAACAGCCGCCGCCGCTACACTATTTCTGCGACCTTGCCTTTGCAGGGGCAAAAAACTATTATCCTCATGTACTCGCCAACTTCCTCTTGTTATGTTTCCCTCCAGGTCTTCCCTATCCACTTCACCTGCGTCTATCAGTGTATGGCGTCTTACATAATTATGCAAACGACATGCTGCCTTCACAACCAACTCTGCCTTTTGTGGCGACACACCCATGGGCCTCCTAAAAACTCTCCACTTCGCACTCATTATACCGAATGCATTTTCTACTACTCGCCTTGCCCTGGATAGCCTGTAGTTGAAAACTTTTTCATCAATTGGCAAATTTCGCCCCGGGAATGGTCTCATCAGGTGCTTTTGGAGTGGGAAAGCTTCATCCCCCACTATCACATAGGGAGCCTTTTTTGAGCTGCTAGTAAGTGTTGTTTCATCCGGCAAATTCAGGGCCCCTTCATTTAGGAGCTTACCGAGAGCAGAGTGGGAGAAAACACTCCCATCACTCTGCTTTCCGTAAGCTCCCACATCTACAAAAACAAAATTGTAATCGGCGCCAACAAGGGACATTAGCACAATGCTGAAGGTGTGCTCGTAATTGCTATAAAGGGACCCTGAATTCATCGGTGCTTGAATTTGTATATGTTTCCCATCTATGCTCCCCATGCAATGTGGGAAATTCCACTTTTTCTCATACTCTTCAGCGATTTGCTTCCATTTTGTAACTGTTAGCGGGTTAAAATATTCTTTTCTGAGTGATTTCCAAATTGTCTCACAAGTTTCTTTGACTATTCCTGAAACTGTTGATTTCGATGTCCTATATGAATCTGCTATTGTGGTATAAGAATCCCCTGTTGCTAAAAATATGATATATGTGCACTTTTATTTGATGTTATGTTTATTTTTAATAGTACTATGTGGATGTGTTATATTTTGAATATTTTCTTCCACATACATTTTGTTACATGATTTGAATATACAGTTTCAAATGGTACATTGCTTACCCCAATGTGATTCCAAGCCTCTCTTCAGGAGATATAGGTTCTCGGAAATTAGTCGTGGTTTTAGTGATGTAAGGAGCCACTAGACTCCTCAGGTCATCAAACATATCAGGGTCCAGGCGGTACTGGTTTCGAAATGCAACCGTTCTCTCAATTCGCATTTCTTGGACAAGTCTATGGTATTCACCTGCGTAGAAAGTATTATCAAATGAAAGATAAATTTCTATTCAACTTCAAGCTCTACCGTCTGTTCAATACACAGGTAGATGAAGAAAACAGGATAAGATAGCCTATGATTACTTAATTTTATATTAGTATTTTGAGGAAAGACCACGCAGTTTCACAGGGCAATGATTTGAACTTACCAAGCTCTTTCCTCCTTTTTAAAATAGGATGAACCCAATGTTCTCTTTGCTTTCGCTCTGTATTATTTGCCAAATAAAGGGCGATTGCCAATCTTTTCTTTTTTGAAAGTGGCATATTTGTAAATTTTGTAGCGGAGTAGGAAGCAGACGAAATTTCTAGCTGAATTTCCCGCGTAAATGTTCCTAAGCAACCGCCTCTGGCGCCCTTGAGTGGTGGAAAAATGACGCGCGCTATGTGAACACCTGCCCCGCACGACCAGAAGCCGCGCCGCGACGCGTCCAGTGTATACGCACCTTTAGGGTGGAGATCAAAAACCTCACTTTACTTAAACTTGGATTAAGACTAATCTCGGTTTAACTTCGATAGTTAACCGAAGATCAAAAACCTAGTTTAGCGGTTACTTAACTAATCTTGGTTCAAGTCCGACGCCACGAGGCATTTCATTACATTAAAACGTCGTGGCATGTTGCTCTTTGACCCCGTATTCCCATGGCGATGACAACGCGAACCCAATTTTGTTGTAATTTGCTGTCTTTGCAAAGTCGGTTTTTGATGTATTTCGTTGATTTTGCCGAAGCAAAACAAGCTGGGCGGTAGAACTACGAAGAGCTGACGCGCATTACACGAAATATCGAAATAATAACACTTTATCATAAATAGAATTCTTCCCACTACTGGTACAGTCTACAACTACAACAGGGTCGGCTAACCTTTTTGGTCTGAGGGCCACATGTAATTCATCAATAATTGCGCGGGCCAATTGACATGGTAGTTATGCTACACTACTACAGGTTAACAATAAAAAAATACCCTCACATCAATTTTTCACAATTATTAGAACAATAAAACTGTTGTTTTCCAACCATTGACGGGTCGCCATCAGTGGTTATTCCCGAAAGTTTAGCCAACGACAAGACGCTTAATCATTTTTATCACAGCTGTCGAAAAATCAATGCCTCTAGTCAAACCCTTAACAGGGGCAATGGCTGCGGTCTCCACGGTAATTTTATATCATCATTAACTACCCGCAAAAAGATAGCAAGTCACCAACTGAGCAGTAAACTTAATGTCAGCGCTTCCTCAAGCGCCAAGGAATACAATAAAAAATATCCTGCTTTTGCGATTAAAATTCTCGCAACAGAATTCCCAAGCTCTTCAACAAGACGAGTTATGGTCTGTCTTGACAGGCTATTTTTGCAAACACCTAGAAATGCTTCTACATATGGCTTGAGGGCCACGAGTTGGACGACCCTGATCTACAACACCAATTGAATCTAATATTTTCTCCCTAAACCTCAGCGTAACAACAAACAGACTTCAATTATAGAACCCACATCCTACTTAGAGTGAAAACAGACGAAATAAACACACTTCAGCTGAAAACCTATCCCTGGCAAGTTCTGGGCCACAGGCTTCTACATATTTAACATTATATTATTTTGAAAATTTGTATTGCAAAAATGACTAATATTCATTTGTTCAAATGACTGCTACGTACTGACATTCAAGAAATGGAAAAAGTATAGAATCAATTCGGAAGAGGTGCTAAATTTTATCCTGGCTCTACAGCTTTGAGACAGATGCACACAGACACAGGTGCAATCATAGTTGTTGCTTTCGTTGCTATTTAAAAGTTTTATTTATTTCTTTTGCGAAAGACTCGCCGAGTGACGAAAAATCGACATAACTACGTTTGCTTCAAATGTTTTAGCATGCAAGATATTTGTTTGTTAAGCTTAAGTTAACCGGGTTTCACATATTTGTTGGACACAAAGTCGTAAAATAAAGCACTGCTGCAACCTTGACAACACTTTTACTATAATCCTATCCATAACAGTTGTTTGTCTTCATGACCTGAACAGTACAAATGAAAATACAGGGTTAAAGATAGTATATTGATGAAGTGCGCTAGATATTAAAGAAGCAAATTCGACCTAGGCAATGACTAAAACCGAATAATTTGTATTCGAATTTGTACAGATTTTTTTGTATTCTGAAATGATATTTTTGAATTTCATAAAATCCAATGTATATTTAATTATATGAATTTGGAAAAGTAAAACAGTAGAGTATTTTTAGTTTTCAGATATTAAATGAAGGCTCTTTTGTCTTCGATTGTGATTGCATGTCGAACAACTTTGCTCTACTCTAAAATCATGTGACACTAGTTTTGCCTGCATGTAACAAGAAATGACTAATGGGAATGATTTTGAAAAGTTTGTCACATCTCGGTTACTTGAACATATCTGGGACAATACCAATAAGAAATTTACCTTGATAAAAGTATCCTCACATTATACGAATAATACAGATTATACACACAAACTAAAAATGATTTTCATTTAACAGCTGATACGAACATGAATTTAGGACAGTTTACATACAAATAATATGACATTTAAATAGTGACAAACTCACAAATTTGCTCTTTCAATAGAGCTGATGAAATTGATCATCATCATGGCACTCAGACAGTTTACTTGATTTGAAACAGCTGTAGAAATAAATGAAAAATCAGAAAACAATGTTACATTAAAGAAATGTTATGATAGCATGAACCATTGCATTCATGATAAGTTATTGGCAATATATAGTTATCAATATACTCATTCCTGCAATCTAGCATTTGGTGGAATTCATGGTCACGGTACTACAATATTCTAGTTTTATTTTATATAGCAAGAGTCAAGAATCATTAATACCATAAATATCGTACATCTGTGCAAACAGCATACCAATAACATGCAATATGATTTTTACATTGGTGTACATCAAAATATCCAGTCAACCTTCTGCTATCTACTTCGGGAACTTGCAGACTTGTGAATTAGCCGATGACAAGATACATACACCGGGGCACAGTGCAGTAGTGATACATGGATATCGTAGGTAAATCTCAGTTCTGCTCATACACAAAATATAATTAAAAGGAATCTTTTGGGCACTGGTAGATCTAAATATCTGAAAATATATCATTTTTGTTAAAACATTTTGAAGTTTATATTACTGTATTAGGACTAGGAGTATCTGTTCGACGGTACCACTGCGCAACTGCTTATCAACGAAACTATACTAAAATACTGGGCCCTATGTCTGTTTATGACAAGAACCCATATAGCAATAGGCTACTGGTATAACTGTAGTCTACAATCCAAGCTAAAATAAATCTTCACAAAAACTGCTAAGAAAATTAAAAAACGCAAATACAGAAATGTATCAATACGCTGGGTATGTATTTACCTTACTAGATTTATTATAGTATAGTCCAATTCCACGTTGTAAATAATTTTGTTCGGGCGTAGTACGGTAGGTAATAGGTACAGCACAGGTACCACCGCAAATGCTACATATCGCAGCCTCGTGGTACAGGTATACAATTATTTATTCGTCGTGACGCTTGTACAGAGCTCCCTGCTACTCCTTTTGTCGCCCCAGAATACAATATAGATTGTACGGTAAGCGATAACATCCAACACGACAAGCGCCGCAATCCAAATGCACTCGACAAACCGAGTTAAACCACCTCCAGACCAGGTTTAAAAAATCGCCGATTTTAAGTCGAGATTTACGTCACAGAAAGTTAAACCACCTTTTTGATCTGGACTTAAACCGCCGATCCAAAGTTGAACTCCGATTCGAGGTTAAACTACTATTTTGATCTCCACCCTTAGGGTTGGAAGAGATCCTGGTCAAATCTGATGCTGCAAAACCAAATGAACAAGTGACAGAATTAAAGATACATTTGATTGTCATTGATTACAATTGACAAAGAAGTGGCTTGGAATTCGATTATTCTTTGAGGTAGCGAAAAAGGAAGGCAATCTGTTACAGAAAAACAAGAAAACATAAATGGCTCACATTTTGCAAATCCCTGTGCTATGGAAGTGTTCCTCACATATGAGAATATTATCTCAATGCAGGTGTTTATTTCACGTCAAACAGGACCCTATCGATCGCACAACATTGGCGTGAAATTGGCAGTTCCCTGAAACCGTAGCTATCTCATTACATTGATGCTATCTCATTACAAATGTTTTTCAGTATAAAGTTAGGTGAATTGTGATATTTTGAAAGAAAATTTCAAATCTTGTATTTTTTCTGTGTCTGAGCTGTGTATTGGAATGTTTTAGAAAAGAATAATCTGAAGGTCTATCGATTTGTGCAATGCCAGTAATAAAATATTATTCCCTTCCCATGGCCTTGTTATCGTACCAGTGGTATTTATAGTGTTATTTTCATTGGGAGATTCCAAATCCCATGTTCAAATACTACATGCTCAACACAAAGGGAAGACATACTGTGACATAACCTACTGGTGGCTCCCTTCAATTACTCTGTGGGCCACGGGCCCTTGGTTGGTAAACGCTGTATAAATGTGGAGGCATGTACAAAAAATAGGCATCAAGCGATACCTCAATCACAAAGACAGCACACTAACACAACATAAAGTGCATTCTTTTTTGACATATTCAAAAACAACTCTCGGCAGCAGTCTATGTAAACAAAAATTAGAGAAAAGGCAATACCTGCTTGCATTGATTTTTTCATTCTTATCAAAATTTGCACTAGCAAAAATCAATATTTTTCGTTTTATTACTAAAAACTGTATTTTTTCATTGGAATAAATTATAAAACATTTTATCAGTACAATACACATGCATCGACAGTCAATTATTATATTGTTATATCTTGAACCGTTTGACCATGTACTTACATTTCGCTATTTTTGGTAGCTATGTATCGTTCATTTAGACCGCAGAAAGAATACAATTACAATTTTTTAAAGCAGCGTGTTGAACATCTATTATTTTGATTCGCTAAAATTGAATTTCCGCGAACCAACTATATTACTTGTTTGTTAACCAGCTGCGTTAACATTGTAACATACCGTATGGCGTTAATCTAATGTCCTGATGCAACTGGATACCGAATGAACAAACTAGCCTACGGTATATGAAATAAAAATACCGGTAACTAAATTAATTTAGACGCAAAAATTCTTATTTTTAAGTCAAATTCCAATAAATTCGAATGATGAGAACAAATTTATCGCAGTAGTTGTTTTGCTAATTTGATCAAAATCTGTTTCTTGCATAGGTCCGGTAGTACCGGTGCACTGCATCACCATTTAAAGCTTTCGTTGATGATATTTTGAACAGATGCGATTCGCGTGGTTGTTATCTTCCGGGAATTGTCTGACATTAACGCTTTTCTCCACCACTTCCCGCATACTTGTTTTTTTATTATTACGGAGATTTTTCAAGAATTTATAGCTCAAACCGCAACTCTACCAACGTTCCGCTGCAAAAAAAGTTGGGCAGACGACGGTAAGTAGTAAACTCCCACTAGATGTCAGACCGTGGCCAACAGATTCACGTTAAATCATGATAAATAAACAAAGGCAGCTTGACGTCTTGTTGTTATGCATTGTCTCTGGTATGACCATTGATGACTTAACAATGAATAGAAAACTCATTGTTGTCGCCACAGACGTGCCACGCTTGAGTGACCTTTTGTAAAATCATATTCTGGGGCGCTTAAACAATGCTTATCTTGTGGCGGAGCCTCGTGAAATTAAAGCCTGAAATTTCGTAAAATGGGGTATTATACCGGGAAATTCAATGGAAATATTTTTATACGGCTGTACACTGTTGAAATAGAAATTATATGATGTATTCGGACAAATTTATATTTGGCCACAAGTGCGATCATGTAGGTGACATCGTATATTAAATCCAAAGTGGGATATGCGACCAGAGGGTGGTTTCTGATCAATTTTTGAGGATTGTGGAAATGTCTGAATGGTGTGCGTTTGCATTTTGTTATATAGATAGATAGATAGAACTTTATTCATCATCCAGTCATTAGCCAATAAATCAAACACAAACAACAACATTCGATAAGTAAAAGAAGAATAAATCGACTAACAACGGAATTGATAGTAGGTTGGAAGGACCATACGGTCATTAAATCGAAACAACTCTCCTGGCATAAAAAAGGTTGACAGATTACATTTTATATTATACCAATTATAAAACATTTTAACTTGTTGTAACTAACAATTGAGCAACAAGAGTAATGTGACACATATTGAGACGAATTTAAAATAGAAGCGACAAGAAAAAGCGTTTAGTTTTATATCACACAAAATAAAAACGTACAAGTAGAAAAGTTATGAATCAGTACTTATTCAGAAAAGACTGGAAATACTTCTTGGAAAAAACATTAAAACTGGGAATTTCCTTTAGGTTTTCGTTAATATCGTTCCAAATTCTCACACCCTGGTACTTTATGGAATTTTGGGCCCGCGAGGATGAAAATCGTGGTACAAATAATCCTCCCTTTCGATATGAACGAGTACCATATGTATGTGCATTTTTTGTTGTAACAAAATATTGTTGTATTACGCGAGGGGCAGTGCTATTTACCGCTTGATACATGAGCCTTCCCATTTCATAAAAATATAGATCTTTTATTCTAAGAATACCAAGGATTTTGTAATAACTACTCAAATTTGCCCAGCGTGGCACCCCGCAGATGGCTCGAATTGCTTTATTTTGGATTAGCTGTAATTTGTTAAGACTGGTTTTGTCACAACAACCCCAAGTTACGATACCATACAGAATACAAGAATGAAATAATGAATAGTAAATGATTTTTAAAGCATGCAATGTCAAATAGTGTCTAAGTTTGAACATAATCCCAGTCACTCTTGATAACTTGCTATATAGATATTCAGTATGAGCATGCCATTTAAATTTGTTGTCAATAATTATCCCAAGATATTTCATGCATGACACTTCAATTAACATTTTATCACCAAAAGATACATGGAAAGCTTTACTTATATTTTTTTGGTGAGAAAGCATATAGGTCGATTTAGAATAATTTACAGTCAATTTATTTGCTCTCATCCAGGCATCCACTTTGCTTATTTCATTATTTTTGAGAATTTGAAGAATATGAGGGCAGTGGTGGCTTTTAGCAATACATGTGTCATCAGCAAACATTCTGGTGTCACTATTGGTAGCATTATTTAGATCAGGGGTTCTCAAACTTTTAGTGTTGCGGAGCCCTTGAAAGGTTGAATATTATTCGCGGAGCCCCAAAATAAATTTTAAAATTGTTACTTTCAGATTATTATTCCCGAGCAAGTTAAAAGTACTTTATTTATTCTAAATGCTGAACCTTTTTTAATAGGGTTAACACAAGTCATAAATAAATCTAAATTTTATACTAAAGCTGTAAATTTGACACTTGACGAACATATTAATAAATTAGGGATCGAATCTTTTCTTTTTTGACATTTTTGGAAGACTTAATTAAAAGGCCGTTAGTAACGTGCGCTATTTCATTTTGTTACAATAGCCGATTTTTTTCCGTCAGCATGGCGTGTTTTAAACATCTTTACGCCGCTGTTTATTCTCCCTAAATCAAAAATTTCCCTCGGCATATACATGTATTGTTACACAATGACGACGTTAATTGCTTTTTTGTTCTCGTGGGGAATTATGAGTTCAATGTGAAAAACATGTTACCATATTATAGTCATCGGCGACTAAAAATAATAATCAATAAAAAGGTAAATCCACAACTCAAATTTCTTGATTGAAAAGCGGCATTTTAAAATATTTAAACTGAAACTTAAAATGGAAGATCACACTTTGGTTTCAGCAGACTCACCTCAGATTGAAAACGCTTCTATATACATTGTAAATCACAAAATTTGGTGTTATGTTAGGTTTTCATCGTAGTAGCTGCGAAATCGAAACACAGTCAATTGTGCGCGCGATTTACCTTTTTTTCATTCTGAAACTACCGACGCAGCCGCACGCAATCAATGGTGCGCGCGATCCGCGATGTACCTTTTTTCATTCTGAAACTACCGACGGAGCTGAATGCAATAAAATAATTTTCAATTGTTCGTATTTTCCCCAGACATTGTGATTTTTTAAACAGCGATATCTTGCTTAAAAATAATCTCAAGTGCGAAAGAACAAATCAAGTTTGACAAATCGCAAAAATACGACACCAATTTATTTATAGTTGGCAGTTTATCACATATTTTATGTTATTTTAGAATAGTATTCTTTCATTTTAGTAATCCTAATAGTAATCTCGAATCAAACGTGAGTAACGATGAGCACAACTACATTATACCGACGAGACACGTCAAATGCTCCATCGGTCTTGGATTGAATATTTTACGCAACAGAAATCTCGTTATCCGTTTTTTTAATCGCGAAAAATGTTGCGCGGAAATTTCCGATTCCAATTTTGAACCACCTCCCTCTTAAGAATCCTGGCTGCGCTACTGCTCATAAATAATGTCATTTTTTAATTCCGGCTCTTTACCATATTTCGAGGCTATATTGCTGTCAGATGTTATCAAAGCTGTTATTGCTTCTTTGAACAGTTACAAAATTTTGAGTCAGTATTTTGAAGAGTAATCGAATAGCTCGCGGAGCCCCTGGGTTTCTTTCGCGGAGCCCTGGGGCTCCGTACGGAGCACTTTGAGAACCTATGATTTAGATCATTAACATAGATTATAAAAAGTAAAGGCCCCAAAATTGAGCCCTG